CTCCAGACAGACTACCTGAGGCTCCAAGTTTCCAGCTCTGTATCTGTAAAATGGGGAAAGCAATGCTAAAAGGATGTAGTACATATTCAATGTCTGTCCTGTAATGACGACTTTAAAAACAAAACAAAAACAAAAATGAATTGCAGGCATGATTATGACAAGGAACACGGGTCCATTTTATAGAGGAAACAGAGGCTCTTGGAAGCTACGTGACTTGCCCAGGCCACCGTGACCAAATCTGACTATAAATCCCCTGGTCTTATGCCACACCAATCACTTCCCAAGAGGTTGATTTTCAGAGTCCTTAGTTGTTGAGCAGAGGGCGTGGGGACCCCTGTGGCTGTCAGTGGGAGGTGTCTGCTGGGGCTGCTGCCTGACACTAGAGTTGTTAGGTGGAGGCAAGGATCCAGCCTGGGAATTATGGGTGGGATCAGGACAAGAAGGGCTTATTAAGAGGAGAGAAGGTGACCCAGGAACCCCACATCCCTCATAAGGGAAGGCAGAAGTATGTAGGGGTCACTGCATCCTAACACAGACCGAAGATTCTGGAGGAGACAGGAGAGTGTGGTTGCAGGTGAGAGGGTAGAGCAGAGTATGCTGCCCCCACATGCAGCCCACTAGGAAGAAGGAGATCATGGTATGATGGGCTGGGGGACAGAGGTGGACACACAGGTTCAGATAGGACCAGCATATGGGCATGGGGTGCTTTAGAAAACTTACCACTGAAGTCAGAAAGGACCAGTACTTGCTTTTAGCTCAGTACATAAAGAATTTTCTGAAAGGCAGAGTCATGGCCACCTAAATGGCCTTTAAAGAGGGAACCTCCTGTCGTTGGAAGGATGTGAATAGCAACTGGAGCATCCTTACCAGGGAGGCTGCATAGAAGTCAGGTGCTTGAGCATGGGCTGGATTTTTCAAGACTGCCTCCAGCCCCAAGGTTTGGTGAATTCCTGATGTTATACAGAGCAGATCTGTGGCTGTTGCTAAGGTGTCAGGGAGGGGCTTACAACCCAGGGCAGATGCAAGCAAGATTCACAGCCTGCTGGCTCAGGACCCCTGCCCGGATCTGGCCACTCTGGATGCAGAGCCCTTCCAGATGCCAAGGCTCTGGGAGGACTGTGGCTGCCCTCCTGACCTGCCCTCCTGAGGTGAAGACCAGGGTTGGGGAACCGTGGGCTGGGGCAGCATCTTACTTTGAAGGCAACATTTGCTTGTGATGTTCAGGGAGGCTGCAGGTTTCAGGCAGCTTTGCAAGGTATGCTTCTGCAGGAGGGGTGTGAGAATGTGGCAGTGGGCCCAGCCCAGTCGACAGGGTACCCTGGGGCCAACACTCGTATCCTGGGGCCAGGCTCCAGGCTCCTCTCCGACCCTCAGATTTTATCTGTTTCCAATTCTTTCCTGTCTACTGAGGCTCTTGCCTGCCTCTGTGTCTCCTGTCTACCCAACTATGTATGTTGATTTTTTCCAGCTCTGCCTCCATGTCTCTATTCTGCCCAGCCTGGGTCTCTGGCTTGTACCCTGGTCCATTCTTGCTGCCCTTAGGTGGGAGCTGCCGCCTTAGCCCTCTTCCCCATTGCTCTATCTTATGTCTCCCAGGATGGTATTGGGCTCCTATAATTCACCCCTATCACCTGGTACAGCAGACCCCAGTCCCACTTGCCCTTATGCCCCTGAACCAGCCCTCTATCCTTTTCCCAAACAGCTCCGATGATTCCCGGGGCTTCCTGGACATGGCAGGAGGAGGACATGTGGGAAGAACCAGCTCTAGTACCACCTGCCTGGCCTCTGACCCCCCCATCGGGATGCCCATTGCCCCCACATGCAGCCCACTAGGAAGAAGGAAATCATGGTATGAAGGGCTGGGGGACAGGTGAACACACAGGTTCGGGTAGGACCAGCATATGGCCATTTCCCTGCGTGCAGCAGCAGCACCAACAATAAGCCTGGTTTTGTCTCCTCCCTGCATCTGCTTGGCTTGATCAACTGCCTGCCCCAACTTCACATGTCCTGCTTTTGGATTACGTTTTCTGTTCCTTCTGACTCCTGTCATTCAGCTCCTACCTGGGAGGAGGCAGGGAATAAGCAAGCAAGTGAGTGAGTAAATGATGTGGGGGAAGAGGACCTGTTTTTTAGCAGGTCAGCCCAACCATTCTTGCTGTAGATGCTCAGGGAGGTGGTGCTGCCTGTGGTCATGAGTACAAGCTCTGCATAGCTGTGGCCCTCAGCAAGTGTGTCACCTCTTTCCCTATCTGTAAAATGGATATAGTAATGCCACTCACTGTACAGGGTGGCATGCATGGGCGTCCTGTGTAGCTCACAGGAAGGCTGCTACAGCTTTCCCTGCTCCTGTGACAGGGATCTGCTCTGATTGGATAGTGCCTGTACTCATTGGTGAATCTTTCACCTACCACCCAGTTATGGGGATAAAATAAAATAATGAATATAAAGCACATGTTACAGTGCCGGGCACATAATAAACTGCTATCGCTATAATTATTATTATTAGCTGGGACAGGAACACAGTAGAAAAATTCACAGCATTCAGCACCAGTTCTCCCAACCCCCAATACCCCACCCACCAGCCAATTGACTGGTGCCCTGGTTTCTCCTGAGGGGCTTATAACCTCCAGACACAGGTGATGCTTTCCTGACCTCCAGGGAAAGGAGAGAATGGTGTAGGGAGAAAGAGAAGGTAATCATTCCTTTCTGTTTTGTTCTGGCTTCCCAGGTCTCCCAGTACACAGATCATTCAGCAAATATTTATTGAGTCTTATGATACACCAGGCTCTGTATTAAGTAAGAAAGCTACAGAGGGCAGTGATAAAGGCATGCGCGAAGTGCAGCTGTGCTGCCTGGTGGGGATGTGTCTGACCTGACGACTTTCCTTTCTCCTTTTCTTTCCTTTCTTTTGACAGTCTCACTCTGTTGCCCAGGCTGGAGTGCAGTGGCACAATCATACCTCATTGCAGCCTACACCTCCAGGGCTCAAATGATCCTGTTGCTTTGTCCTCCCAAGTGGTTGGAACTACAGGCATGCGCCAACTTGCCCAGCTATTTTGTTTTTATTTTTTATGGAGATGAAGTTTCATTATGTTGCCCAGGCTGGTCTCAAACTCCTGGGCTCAAGTGATCCTCCCACGTTGGCCTCCCAAAGTGTTAGGATTATAGGTGTGAACCACCATGCCCAGCTATGACCTGCAAGATTTCTAAGTTAGCTTGGGCTTGCCTTGCACTAAGACTGAGCCTGAGAAGCTGGCTAGGAGTTCTGGATCCTAATCTCAACTCTAACACAAACTCCTGTTGCTACCTGGAAGACCTATCCTTCCTACGGTAAATCTGTCTCTGTATCTCCTCTCTGGAGGTGACCTCCAGGGCTGCTGGGACACTTTCTATGTCAGCTCTAGAGCAGGCGATGATCTCTTTTAAAGTGTCCAGCCCCTCAACCTCCCTTGGAGCCTGGAGACCAAAACTAAGTCTGGCTTTAAGGAGTGAAGCTGGGGAATTGGCCTAAATTTCTTAGACATTTCCCTGCAGACAAGGGAGCCATGAAGAAGTGGCCCAATCAGATTTTTGTTTTAGGAAGAGCACTCTGAAGGCCAGAGCAGAGAATGGGTTGGGCGAGGATCCAGCGGGTGGACTGAGATGAGACCAGGTGAGAGACAGATGCTGAGTGTCTGAGCTGATCATTGCAGTGGGATTGGAGAGAGACAAGATGTGGGGGAGAGGCATTTTGAAGGTGGCAGCGATGAAACCATGGAACAGATAGGATGTAGGGTGATGAGAAAAATCCCTCAGCTCCTGCTGAGGGATTTTTCCTAGTTTCTGACCAGTCTGACTGGATTGATCTGACAAGTGACATTGATTACTGTGTGTGCATGCATGTGTGTGAATGTGTGTGCATGCATGCTTACATAGACATGTGAGTATATATATACATATATACATGTAATCAAACCAAAGCCAACACAAGATTCTTTTCCCTTATGATTTGCCTTTTCATCCTGAGAATCAAGGACAGAAAGTTTCAGTAAGTTGATGACTCAGATTAATTGAGCTTTGGCTAGCTCTGGTTTTGCTGCACATGGGAAACCCTATGGCTGCTGAAGAATGAAAGAGATTCAGTTTTTTCCATATGTTCCCTCTCTGAACCTCAGTTTCTCCACCTGTGAGGTGGCAATAATACTCCCTCCTCTGTACTTCTCACAGAGTCATCAGGAGGCTCAAGGCAAGAATTAACATCAAAGCATTTTGCAATGCACAGCACAAAAGCCAGATTCTATATTTTTGGCCCAAATGGAGGCACAGAGACTGGGCTCATCATGGTAGATGATGTTGCTCCTGAGTCTCCCTCACATGGGCTTTCTGGTTACAACGTCTGAGAGTCAGGCAGTTTTTTGCCAAGTACTTTGTTGAGGCTGTTGTGTACCTTCAGGAGAGTCAGGGAGGAGTGATGGGGGCTCTGGGGTTCAGGAAACAAGGTCCTGGTTGTAGAATGGCATCTGCAGGCATACTTCACTGGTTTATAGACAGCTTGTCCCAGCTGACCACAGCCCGCCTTCATGGTTTGAGCAGGTTAAACACTCTTTAACACCAAAGCCTCAAGAAAAATCTTATTCATTGACTTCATGTAAAAAATGAATTGTGAGAAATGGCAGCACGTTTTCCCACACAAGGCCCAAGGTGGTGGAATAGTCCAACATCTTTGGGCTGCTTCTCCACAGGAAAAATGTGGCTTTCAAAGTAGGTATTTTGAATACTATTTTATAGCTGAGGAAACGGGGAAAGGCCTAGAAGAGTGAACTAACAGCCCAGGTCACAAAGGAAGTCAAGTCAGAGCCAGGATCCAAGCAGGACCAGCTATCTCTAAACCCCATGTCCGTTCCACCCTGTCACGTGGGGTTTCTCTCCCTTCCGGACCATCTGGCTCAAGCACCATTATCTTTTGTTCAGATGAAGAAACTGAGGCCAAACTAGGGAAACAACATGACCTGCAAAAGCTCTTTAGTGAAAGGTAGATTTTAATAAAAATACTTTTCTGCCAGCTACATGGCACCTATCAGATTAACATAGTGACGGTCCTGGAAAGGTGCCCAGCACAGAGGAGAGTCAAACTGTGTGCAGTCCTTTTGGCCAAAATCCATAAACCGTCTAATGGATTGAGTGTAGATACAGGTTCTTGTGAAGACTCATCTATGGTGCTCCAAAGGAGAGCAAGCAAACTGGGGAACACATAGGTTGAGGTCAGACAAATTGGTGCCAGGAAGAGTAACACTGAGAGCATCAAGATAGCTCCATTTCCTAAGTGCTGATAATGCATATGACATCTCTTCAAAGAGGTTGCCCTTTCCCTGTTCCCATGGAGAAACTGAAGCTCAGGGAGACAGAGCTAGGGATCAGCAAGAAGCCAAAAATGTTAACAGAATGTTGGTTTTTGTGGGGAGAAGGAACAGAGGGTAGACATATGGGGCAGTGAAAATTGATGCTGGGCATCAAGGATGATGGAGTGACTTCTCAGGGTGTCTGCTTGCACGGCTTGGACCTGAATACCAGTCTTGTGTATGGAGAGTCATGCAGAAATTCAGCTAAGATGTATTGAACACATAGCACATTAGGCCTTCTCGTGTGATAATTTCCATGCCAAAATATCATTCAATCTTCACAGCAAACCTGTAACAGAGAGACAATTATTCTCATTTTGCACTTGTGAAAGCAGTCTCAAAGAGGCAAGGGGAAGGGTAAATGACTTATTCAAGGTCATTCACTCAGCAAATTATACAGGCTGGATTTAGAAGTCAGTGTTCTATCTAATACACTGGGGCCTGAAATGGGATGGGTGGGTAGTCAGAGAGCTGTCCTGGCCTGTAGACAGACTGAAGGTAAAGTGGTTTAAAAAAAAAAGAAGGTATCTTCAAAGGATAATATGGGAATTCTCATTGTCACAGGCCTCTGAAATTTTTCAACTTGCATAGAGTCAACATACCAATATTTATCTGGAAATTCCTAGTGGCATGAAGGAAACCCAAGTGCCTCACTAAGGAGAGGAGGATGCTAAGGGGAATTAGAGACCAGTTGGCCCAATGTTTTCATTTCACAGGTGAAGAATCTGAGGCTGAGACAGGTACTTGTTGGAGGTTTGGAGGTACAGCCAGTGCTAGATGTGACTCCTCTTCATAAAATCTCCTGGGAGTGGTGACGGTGACAAGAGCAAGTAAAATGGGCTGTGTTGTTGGGGATTATCACAGTGCTTCATCTGAACTGGGCATTGACCACTACCCAACCCCACCAGGGACCCCAGCTCGAGTGCAAACCTGAGCTAGTTCCCTGTCTGGATCGGTGCCTTTCTTTTTTCATTGAGAGGTGGAGCATAATGCAAGAGCCCAACCAGTCCTTTGTTACTGAATTCATCCTTCTGGGATTCTCCATTGGCCCCAGGACCACTCCTCTGCTCTTCTCGGCCTTTCTGATGATCTACCTGTTGATTATTCTGGGCAATGGCTTGATTGCCATCCTTATCTGCCTGGATTCGCACCTTCACACTCCCATGTATTTCTTTATTGGCATCTTGTCCATGTTGGACCTTGGCTACACTACCACAACTGTGCCCCAGATGTTGGCACATCTGGCCAGTGAGAAGAAGACAATCCCTTTCACTAGCTGTGTGGCCCAAATGTACATTTTCTTGGTGCTAGGCATCACGGAGTCCTGGCTCTTTGCCATCATGTCTGTAGACAGGTATGTGGCCATCTGCCACCCACTCAGGTACAAGGTCATCATGAGCTCATGGTTCTGTGGGGTGATGGTCATTTTTTGTGGACTCTGGGGTGTCACCTCTGCCCTTGTCTACACCATGTTTGCCATGCATCTGCCCTACTGTGGCCCCAACAGAATCAACCACTTCTTCTGTGAAGTCCCTGCAGTCTTAAAGCTAGCTTGTGCGGACACCTCAGTCAATGACCGAGTAGATTTCATTCTTGGTTTCAGTGTCATCCTGATCCCACTGTCCCTCATTCTTATAATTTATGTCAACATTTTCATTGCCATCTTAAAGATCCATTCAGCACAGGGACGGCTAAAGGCGTTCTCCACCTGTGCCTCCCATATCGCTGTGGTCACCATGTTCTCTGTGCCAGCCATGGTCATGTACATGAAGCCTGGCTCTAAGGCCTCCCCGGAAGAGGACAAGAAGCTGGCTCTGTTCTACAATGTCATCTCTGCCTTCCTCAACCCCATCATCTACAGCCTCCGAAACAAGGACGTGAAGAGGGCTTTCCTCAAGGTGACATGCTGGGGCAGGGCCCCAGAATGAGTCCCTGGAATGATAGCTGGGGGTCAGAGAAATAAGATTCATGGTGCACAGTCACTGTCCCAAACACTCACCACATGACCATCAGCACCAGTGGAAACTCTTGCTCAGCTCCTAATCTCAACTCCACACAGGTCCATGGGAGACAGCTCACTCTCTGGCAGACCAGACTCTGTAATGTCTTCCAGGTACACCAGGCACAGTGCTAAGGCACTTTACATGTACTAGTTTGATTCATCATCACAACAATCCTTTGGAATAAGTACTATTATTATCACTGGTTTCTAGAAGAGGATGTAGGCACACAAAACTTAGATAACATGCCTTTCGGGTACATAGTACGTGTATATTTAAATAATAAAATAGAAGATAACTTGCCCAATGTCACTCTGCTAGTCTGATTCCAGTGCCTGTGCTCTTAACCATTATCCTGTCCTTGATGTAAAGTAATGGGTCCATGGTAAGTGCTCAATGAAAATGCATTCTATTCCTGCCCCATTACCCACTGTAATGCCATTTCAAGTGATGCAGACTGACTGGAAGAGAAGCACATTTGAGAAAGATAATTTAAGAACTCTTCATGTGTTCTTTATTTAATTTCTCCTGCTTTCTATTTAATTTTGTTAATTTCAGTTAACAAACTGCCAAAGAGAGGATTATGGCTGTGGTGGAGTGGACAGCCTGGGTAGAAGTCCTCAAGGAATAAGACCTTAAGAGTAGTTCTGAGAGAGAAAGTGAAAGAGAAACCACTGGCCTGAAAATTCATCCTTGCAATAAACTCACTCTCATATGATTGGCATAATGTCACAGAGTCATTAATTCAGTATTTATTAACCCCTGCCTTTAGGAGGGAGATCCCATAAGCACCAAGGCAGGAGCAAAAAGCCTCAGCCTATTTCCATACAAATAATGAAGAAGAAACTAACTAGAAATATAATGTATAACTAACTAGAAATATAACTATAGTAGTTATATTTCTAACTTTGGATCATAGATGTTAGAATATATATATAAAACTTTGGATCATAGATGATCCAAAGAATTAAGATCATCTATGAATGACTAAGATCACATATTATTTATATTATATTATTTATATGTGATCTTAGTCATTCATAGATGATCTTAATTCTTTTACTAATGCCTCTCAGGTCGGAAATGTGAACCTGGGGTGACACTGTGAAATGAATGACACTAAGGCAAGATGCTTTAAGCCCTCTGTCATGCCCGCATAAGGGCTGCTGGAGGGTGCCGCTGGCTGTGTGGCAGCGCCAGAGCTGGGAAAGCGCCCACTGTTTAGCCAGCTAGGGAAGGAGATGTGCCAAATAGCTGAGACGTCTCCTTCCCTGGAGGAGTTAGGAGAAAACTCCGCTTCTCCAAGCTCTTGTGGTAAGGCTTGACGGCTGCCAGGTGGGCCCACAGACATCTGGGGGCTTAACTGTCTCTATGTGATGCTGTGCTTCAGTGGTCACGTTCCATGTCTACTCTTACGTTCTGCTTCTGCACCTGGTCCCTTTTTTCTTAGAAAAGATCATCAGTAATAGTAATATAAATCTTAATGTTTTAATTTTTTCTTGATAAGTATGGCAAAGGTGCTGATGCTTTATGCTCCTTACCTCATTTCTGGTGCCAGAAATTCCTGAGCCCCTACCTGAATGACATGTGATGTACTTGACCCTATCACTGCCATGTCCTATCTACCCTGCCCCCCCAGTCTCCTATCAGTAAGACCACGCCCTACCTACCCTGCCCCCAGATTTGCAACTCAATAAAAGTGAGAGCATCCCAGCATTCAGGGCCACTGCTGGACTCCGCGATTTGGATAGCAGTGAACCCCTGGGCCCAAGCTCTCTTTTCTTGATCTTCGCGTCTTGCGTCTTTTATTTCTACAAGTTCTCATCTCTGCACCAGCTAGGAGGGGCTCACAGAACCCTGTAGGGCTGGACCCTATACCTACCCATACCCTGTGCTGAGAATTGAAAGAAGGTAAGACATTGTTTTCCATCTTTAAGGAATTCCACAAACAAGAGTGTGTACCACTGTAGGTATGAGAAATCATAGAGGCACCTTCAAGGAAGACTTATGATTAGAATTTTATCAAGAGGAGAAAGCAGGGTAGATAATTATAATCGGAGGAGTAATTTAAAAATAGTACTAAAAATAAATAATGTTTATTATTATAGTATTACATACACCTAAAATCTCATTTAATCTTCATGAAAGACTTCAAGATTAGTGTTATTTTTCCAGTTTTACAGATGATAAATTGGAGGTTTGTTAAGTTAACAACTCTCTAGTTTTTGCTGTTGGTTAGTGGCAGGGCTGAACTTGAATTTTCTTTGACCACAGAGCCTGTACTCCCTCCTTGATACAGTCTGCCTCATAGACCACACCTTTGTGAAAGTATCTGGAGGGCTTGGAGTATGAGAATGAAATGGTTTGTCTTGAGCTGCAGTCAGTAACCTTTCTTGTAAAGGACCAGATAGTAAACATCTTTGGCTTTGGGGGATACATATAGTCTCTATCACAACTTCTCAACTCTTGTTGGAGAGCAAAAGCAGACAAATACATAATGAATAATATTTTCAACCATATCAAAATTCAAAACCATTCCTAGCTAGAAACCCATATAAAAACATGAACATTGAGCAGGTCTTGCTGAGGAGGCAGAATAGTAACCCTTTCTAGGTACCAAGCACAGCCCCCAAGGGAGCACCATGTTTGCAAAAATAAGACAGTAGAAATTTTAAATTTTCATTACAGTTGACCAATATGTTATTTTAGTCTTACTTGGTTCCCATCACTGCCATTTTACTTTGTTTTGATTCTGCTGTGAGGTTGGGTACCTACTGAGAAGTCACCCCTAAAATTATAAATTCTCTGAATCCTCATGTCATTGAGTTTTAGAAATGAAGGATGTTTGTCGTAAATGGGACTTATAAGTCATCCAGCCTAACTTTACATCCAAAATAATGATAGTATTTCTGAATCATATGGACCTGTAGCTTATTCTTGGACCCTTCTAAAGGTGGAACGCTCACTATCTCACTCTCCTCTGAACAGCAAAATGTTCCATTATTAGACAGTGTGAATCACCAGGGGTATTTTTTTTTTTTTTTTTGTAAATTGAGTTTAAGGCTTGCCTCCCTGCAACTTTTACAAATCATTTGTAATTTTTCTCTCTGGAAACAAAAAATACACATCTCCCTTTTTGCATGACAAAGTTTGAAATATGTGATGGGATCTCTAAAGTTCTTCATAAGTCTCCATGCTCAAATTTCTCAGTCTCTTTTCTCTTCTTTGAATAACATAGTTTCATGAGTCCCTTACTGATAAGCTCTCTTCTCTGGATAGACAAACTCTAGTTTGTCATTTTTCCTTTCAAATTGTAGGTACAAGAATCAAAAACAGTACTCTGAGCACCATTGGAATCCTTGCCTAACTTTAATTAAATCACACTTTCATTAGTTGTAAGATGCAGTTAGGAGTGGATATTGCCTTTTTTGGATTATGGGATGACTATGGAAAATGCATGTAAATGGCATGGGCCAGTCCCTGCTTAGAAATCTAGTAAAAGCTGTATAAATCCAAGGAAAGGCCTCAAAATGAGGTCCTCACAATGGTAAGCTACATATGAAGTAAGGTTCAGCACCAAGGATAGCTCCGCCACAAGAAATGCCAGTGCTTATTTATACAACGTGTATTTATCCAGTGTGCACTGTCCTAGCATCTGGTAACACAATGAATCAAAAAGACAGAATCCCTCTATTCTTGTGAGGGAAACTGATAATTTAGAACCTATATAGTACATTGGAAATGCTAAGTGCTATCTTTATGAAATATTAAATGGGAGGTATAGGAAGTATGAGATCTTTCCACATACAGAATGGTCTGGAAAGACATCTTTCCTAAGACGACATTTTAGCAAACACTTGAGGGAGGTGAGAGTATGAAACTTAAAGATATTTTGGAAAAGGGAATTTCCAGCAGTGGTAACAGTAAGTGCAAACGCTCTGAAATAAGAGCAAACCTTGTGTGAGGAGCAACCAAAGACTGCATGGAGAACAGGTAGTGAGGCAGGAGTATCGGGTCTGGAGGCAGGGAACCTAAAGCCGATTCTTGCTGGCTTCCTAGAACTAAATCAAAAGGAGGGTGTTGCAAAAGGAGTAGCTGCTGATCCTTCTGTTACTTCCCCACCTCTCCGTGCAGAAGTAACAGAAGGATCAGCAGCTACTCCTTTTGCAGCGCCCTCCCACTTTCCACTTCCTGGCAGAGGAAAACTGTAAAGTACCTCTGATCGGTCCCCTCCCACAACCGATCAGACTGGTTGCAGGTCTAGTCTTCATTTGTATAGGGGTGTAACTCTGTAACTTCACTTCAACCTCTGATTGGTCACTCCCACAACCAATCAGATCAGTTGGGGGGGCAGTACTTCATTTACATAGGGCATAACCAAGTAACCAGTGAGAAACCTCTAGAGGTATTTAAACCCTAGAAAGTTCTGTAACCAGGACTCTTGAGCCATATGCTGTAGCCCACTCCTGCTCTGTGAAGTGTATTAAATACTTTCGGTTCAACAAATCTGTGCTTTTTTTGCTTCATTCTTTGTTGCTTTGTTTGTGAGTTTTGTCCAATACTTTGTTCAAAACGCCAAGAACTTGGACGACTCATAGTCAAGACCCTCTATGGGTAACAATAGGGTGAGAAGTGAGAGGTAGGAGGTGAGGGCAGGGAGATGACTTATCAGGACTTTGGCTTTTCTTGATGATACAAAAAGCCACTGGAGAGTTTTGATAAGAGAATTTACATTTTCTGGCCTATATTTAACAGGATCACTCTAGTAACTGTGCTAAGAATAGACTGTGAGGAAAAAGAGTTGACGCTGTGGGACTGTTAGGAGGATATTGCAATATTTCTGACAAGATGACAATTTGGACTGGTGGCAGTAATGGAGATGGAGAGGTAATTTTTTCCTGGGACATATCTTTGAGAAGAAACAAATAATATTTGCTGATGTATTGCATGGGAATGGTGGGTATAGAAGCGAGAGAAAAGTTCGAAAGACTCTGAGGTGTCTTTTTTCATTTTAGCCACTTCCAGTGATAAAACTGCCATTAATTGAGCTGAGGAAGACTGTAAGAGGAGCGGTTTTATAGGGGAAGACCAAAAATTTGATTTTAGAAAATGTTGTTTAACTCTCCTGTTAGATATTCCAGTGGAGATAGAATATCAAGTAGATAGTTGAATAGATGAGTTCAAAGAAAATATCTAGGATGGAGATATAGTTCATATTTATCAGCACATAGTTAGCATTCAATGCCTAGGTTGTATCCAAATTAGAGGGAGAATTCAAATTCTGATCCTGCCAATTCCTATGCTATTGCATA